TTTTGGCCAACCCAATACATTGTAATATGTTCTTAATACAACTGTGTTTAAAGTACAAAAGTCACACAATACTAAATCTCCCCACAGAGCTGCCTAGAAGAAATGATCCTGGAAGTGGGCTTTAAAGGATGCATAGAAGTTGAATAGATTTAAAGGATACTTAGCATGCTTTAATAAGAATAATAGCTTATTCAAAAGCCTAAGATACAGGAGATATGGAGAGGTGAAAATGAATGGTTACTTGAAGTTCCAGGTGGATGGGGTAGAGCAGATTGATTTTCTCCAAATCAGATTTAGTTATTGACCATGGCATCCAACATGTACAAATTCATTTATTTATAGAAAATTTTGGATACCAAATATCTATCAAATAGAAATTAGGTTAAGTATTAGAAACTGAAAATTAGGTAGTCTAATAAAGGCACATAAAAATAATTACATCTTCCACAATTCCAATACTACAATATTTAAATACATCAAACTCTTCCAAATTAGAATCCTTTGCCAAACCCAAGTATACCCATTCTAAATTTTGTGTTCATCTGACATTGTTTGAACCAAGTAAGATCTGAAGATTTGGTCTTAACTGAGTTAGCCTCAGTTGCTTCTCAGACAATATTACTGCATTATCTGCAATGATTGCTATACAACAATTGCTCTTTTTTTCCAGATTTGGCAATGTGGAGGCTCATTGGAAATTGTGACTTGCTCCCACGTGGGTCACGTTTTTCGGAAGGCAACTCCATACACTTTCCCTGGTGGCACTGGTCATGTCATCAACAAGAACAACAGGAGACTGGCAGAAGTTTGGATGGATGAATTTAAAGATTTCTTTTATATCATATCCCCAGGTAAGCAATTCTGACATTTTCTTCCTCTGCAGGGGAAAATACAATTTTAAACATGCTGAGTATGTGTTGCATTATTGCTCCTCTTCTACTAGTTTAAATAAGATATTGTTTATCACCATAATATTGTAGAAAATTGTGTTTGAGAAGTTGTCCTATGAAGTCAATTTTGACCTAAAACGAGAAAGACTATACTCATCTCAAATGCCTAAATATTCTTTTTTCTTTGTTTCTTTCTGGGCACAAGTATTATGCTAAAAAAAATGAAGCAATCAATATATAAGGCCATCCAAATTTAACTGACATGTACCAGCTCAATTTAAGAAAAAAATTTTTAAGGGAAGTAAGTCTTTATTTCTGTGTTATACACATAAGGCTGACTGAGTTGGTAAGGAATTTTTTTAATGTTTATAAAGAGATGTTTTCTACTGCCTTGTTTTCTTAAATATCTGAGTAGGGAAAGATGAAATGATTTCCTACAGAAACAAGATGGAAAACTATGCAGATATAAAAAATTATATTTTTAAAGAATATTAAATGACAGTAAATTACTCATCGATAAATATGTGAAAAAGCATAATATGGGACAATAAAATATTATCCTACTTTAGTTACAGAGAAGGATAGTTATGGAAATAGAAGTAAATTTAGGCTATCGCTGGGTAGTGAGATTATGAGTAATTTCATTATTTTCCTTATACTTTTCTATATTTTATAAATTTTCTTTATAAGGCAATTATTTTTCAAAATTCATTAAAAACAAATTTTAAAAGAAAATAAATAATTAAAAAATTAAAAGAAAATTTTAAATGTCATTAAAAAAGAGAAAATAAATAAATCATTGTGAGAAAATCCCATTACTGGGTGGCATCATTATGAGTTATTGCATTCTTTAAAATTTTTTAGGATTTCTCCAACAGCCATATTAATTATTAAAAAAACCGCTGAGGTATTACATTTTTTAAGGAAAAAAAGAAACATATGAGAAGATACAAATAAGAGGAAGATACAGGTTTATCTTCAAGATCTCAAAGTCCAAAGAAACCAAAGCATAAATTAATATAACAGGAATTCAGCTGTATTTATAAAATAATTTGTAATGTTCTATTTTTGATAGTTTATGATAGGCCTTACGGTCATCAATGCCATTATTATGTAACCTGTAAGAACAACAACAAAAATCCATGCCCACATCCTCTTTTCTACATTATCATCTATCACAGGTTTAGAAAAGTCAGTGTGGGTTCTAATTGACATGCTCTGGTTCTGAAAGTATATATGAGGCTGTGAACATCCTTCTTTTATAGATGAAAAAGGGAATGAGCAGTATGAACTTTCTTATTAAGATCCAACATTACTCCACAGAAAAGAAAAATTGGGGCAATGCATGTGTAAATGTGTGATTAGGTGATGGATTTTTTTCACACATTTTTAACCCTCCTCTATGTCAAGAAGCTATTGCCAGGAACACTATTTCGCATATAGATGTATTTCTCTTTACAATAGAAACCCAGTCCAGATGTTATATAACCTTTTCATTTTCTTTTGATGATACTTTTTGAATTCAGATCATTACTTGTAGAAATATATAAGCTCAAATATGAAGAAAGAATTAATGCAAAAAAGAAATGTGTTATGTGTGATTATATACAGCATACATTCGGGAATGTAAGCAATTGAGAATAATTGTAACCATATGTATTCTATTCACTCATGATGAATATTATTTGTAGAAAGTCAGGTGTTAGTCTTTTGTATAATTTCCCATTGAGTGAAAAAGGCAGATAAGTGGTAGAACCATTTCTCAAAATGTAATGAAATGACAAGCTTTAGAGTTTAAAGGATGAAAGAAAATGCCTGCTATCTGGAACTAATGACTTGCTGCTCAAGAGGGACTGTTTGTATATTCTGGAAAATGTAGTTTTTACATTACAATAAATATCATTTGGAAGGTTATTATTCTTATAAAATGGGCTCATTTAAGCCCAGAAATTACTTTGGAAAGCAATAAAAGGACACTTGGGGAATATGCTGAAAGTATCTGGGAATTTCCTAAGGGGCATTTATGCTTCTGGATGAAGCAGAGACAGCATCGCTGAGTATGGAACCTGCCTGCTGTGTGTGGGCAAAGAGGGAAAACCAAAAATGTGAAGCAATAAATTGCTTCTCAGTGGAAAGGGAAGGAGGGAAGTAAACTGGAAACTAGAGTTGGATGCCTATAAACAATGCTAGCCCTAGGCAGGTTTCAAATCATCCAAAAATCAGATAAAGTAGGTTGTATTGGGGAAGTCAGGAATCTGTCATTTGTATGATGGCAAGCCTTTGTTGAGTGGATAACTATTTTTGTCATTACTGGCAGTTTCTGGTACTCTTAAAATCAAAATCATGGATTTCTTCGCTATCATCTAAAATTGTTGGGTTTCTGTCTTTCATCTAAGTTTGTAAGAAGAGGAGTTGGTATGGGGGAGATGGGAGGGACACATGCTTGCACATTTTTGCTTAGAATTGTATCTTTTTCTATAGTATACATAAACACACACGCAAACACACACATGTTTACAAAAAACTCTAAAATGGTTTATATTGAGTTTTTTAAGTCTCCAGAACCTCCATAATAATCCAGCTAAGGAAAATGTTACAGTTCTTTCTAGCAGCACCCCCGTGTATCTGTTCATTTGCCCAAGATGTTTTATAAGGAGACTCCCATTTTTTTTATACCAGGGCTTCTAGTACTACATCTTATTCTCCACTTATGCAGTTGTTCGAAATGTGATCTTTAAGTACTGAGTCTTTATGATTGAATTTTGACAACAATTTTGCTTCCTTCCAATATGCTCCTACCTACTTTATTTTTTGGTTTCAGGGATGCTTCAGTTCTGTCTTGAACTAACTGGGTATTCTTTCTCTCTCAAAGGTGTATTTCCTGCAGTTTCGATACCATGATACCATCCATCATTGCTATGTACTACATTGTTTAATTTTTATTACCTATATCTATTGCCAAAGTAGTTCAGAGACTTGTATTTACCATGCTTAGCAACTTTCCTGTCACTTTGCAGTCCTTGAAAGAAAATATGTGTTGAATAATTAGAAGAATAAGTGAATGACTAAATGAATGAGTGAATTTTTGAAGGGAGCCACTTTTGTTTCTTCTTTTCTACTGAATTCTCCATGGATATCTCCTCTATACCAGGGAATCTCTTCGTAAGAATTGCAGCAAATGGGAACCCTTTGTCCCACTTCTCTAATGCAACCTGAGAAAGGACCCACTGATAAGAGAGGTGAAAGGTATTCTTCCTATGCCTGCACTGTCATTCCTCTGAGCCTGCCATCAGAAAAGAAGGTTCCATTGGCTTACCTGTGTGCTTTGGGCTCTATGATTCCACCGTAATCACTGGCACACATAGTCATATAATCTTACCTTCCAGGACTAATATAAAAGTCTAATAGGGACAATTTAGAAGGACAATGACATTTTCTAATAGAGCAGCATAATACAAGAGCTCATAAACTTAAAATAAGATACTTTTACACATGTTGATTTGTATTTTTCTCATGACCCCCATTAATTTAAAGTTAAAAGGAGTCATATAAATAGCTACATGTCTGAATTACTTTTATCTGATTTTTTTCAAAGTATTTACTGTATGTCCTAATTGTCTTGCCCTATGCCCATTAGCCATTGGCAATACTGATAGAGTTGCAGTGTCTAATTATGTCTCCTAAATGGGTATATGAATGAAGAGTAGAAATACTTTGAAATAGTGTTGAAGAATGCACTTTCAACATTTGTTTAGTTTGCTTTCCGGCTGTATTTTTAAGGATTCAAATACTATAGCATCACGAGTTTTAGCACCCTTTAGGCTCTTAAAGCCTGAGGCAGTTTTTACTAGTAATTGGGCTGTTTCAGCTTGAGCCAACCTGATAGTCCTAGCAAGTCCTTTGAAACGACGTGATGTAAGCAGAAACCACTCTGCACAGAACACCCCATTATAAATGGCAACGTTTTTATTCTATTGGTCGCAGGTAAAAAGCTTAAGAATTTTAAAATAGAGTGTAGCCACAGCACTAACCATATATTTGAAATGCTGGCTGTTCTATAAATATTGATTTTCTTTCTTTGCGGAGGTAGATTTCTAACAGTGTATCAATTGACATGGTGATTAGATGCAGCTGTCCTTTCACAACCTCCGGTTGTTCTTTTTCCTTTTCTTAATGGACAGCTGTGCTCTTGTTTTGAGCACAAATTTTGAGCACATACCTTTAAAAGTATTTATATGTAACTGGGAAAACAGCTTATTTTCCTTGACGTTATTGTAGTATTTTGATCTGTATTCCAAGTAAGCATTTAAAGAAGGATCCTTGAACTTACTTTGAAGGTTAACTCTCAATTGCTAACCTTTCAAAAATGCTTTCGAAAACTCAGCTCATCAAAGGTAGTCTTTGTTAATAGCATCTTCGGATCATTATTAAAGTTTAAGGACTTTATTCGTTTCTATCTCTTGAAATTTGTACCTACAAAATATAAATGTTTTTCAACACGCTGATTTTTTTAAAGATACAATATTTAATAACCAGCCCTTTGCGTTTAGGGCCTAATTTCTTTTATGAGTCATAAAAATGTGGTTCCAGGCTGATTTCATAAGCCCAGGTTTTGATGTTTCCAGCAAAATGTGCAGCACATAGATATATCTATATTTAATAATCCAGGGATATCAGTTTTTGGTTGAGTTAACATGAATTCATCTGAAAAGAGTGTGGCACTTATGAAAGTAAAGTATGTTTGTACCTATGAATTTTGGATTTTTATTACTTAATAAATGCTTTTTTAGCAGTATCAACCATGGTATCACTGAGCGAATATGATATTATGAGGAGGAAATTCTGAATCATTTTGATATGCTATATTGTAATAACACAATTCATATACCTGTGTGATTCCCTTGAAAAGCCAATTGTTGAAGTTAATGACACCTACACTCAATATTGTTGTAGTGGACAGA